CCTTGAGCTTTGCAACCCCAAAGGCTGGTTCTCTACAAAAAAAGTTTTGTCTGCATAGCTATGGTAGTCAGGGATGTGAACCCCTGCTCTCCGCTGACATAGCTGTGCCAGCAAAACACCCAGTGTCGCTATGCTAACGACATACCACCTATGGTACTATGCCAGCAGAAAAACTTGACAGCATATGCTGCATCTACACTAGAGGGCTCTGTCAGTACAGCTATACTAGAAGAGCTAGACTGGCAAAGCATGTGTAGTGTATGCCAGGCCTACGTCCCTTGTGGGTCTAGCCCTCAGCCTTTTTTGGTTTTTAGAACTAGACTAGAGACAGGTGTTACTGCTGCTAATTTTTCTTTAATTAATGCTTCTTGATAGAAAATACACAGAAAAAAATACATTAAAATATTAAGTTTTCAAAAGCTGGGAAATGACAGAATCGAGGCTGCCTATATAATCTTAATTTGGCCTCCTTGTGCATATGCATTCTGATACAGTCTTTAATTACATGATCACATACTGTTTTTTCCACAAAACACTGCCCTGTTCAGTGCATGGGATGGACAGTGGTCACTGACAGGTAGTCATTCAATATTTCTTTTTCCCGTCATCAGTCAGTATATAGCACTATGCCTTAATTACTACAAATCATGTGAACCCTTCACTGAATTAATGTATTGATTTCGTAACAGGCTTTTCTATGATGTTCTACACTGCAGTGTCTGACTGGTTCACAACATTTTTTAATTTCTCTTTACAACACTCCTGTGATATAAGATGGCATTATTATCCCTGTTTTACAGAGTGGAATTATGTACACCTAAAACTAGGGCCTGATGTACACCTAAAACTTACGTTGACCTAGCTCCCTCACTCAGAGCTCTGAGCTATGTTAGCTGGACCTAAGTCCCACTGTAGGTACAGCTAGAATTCTTCTGTTGATCTAGCTACCGCCTGTCGGAGAGATGGATTACCTACATCTATGGAAAACTCCCTTCCTCTGCTGCAGCAAGCATTTACACTATAGCTGCACAGTTGCAGTATCATAGCTGTGCCACTGTAGTGTAGACATGGCCTAGGACACAGAGAGATTAAGGTCCTTTCACTTCCGGAACCTCATGCCACAGCAGCCTTTGGCAGCCTGGAGAAGTAGATCCAGGACAATTCCTGCTCAGCCCCTGACCAGTCTTGAATATGCTTGGTCACTGAGTTGAGATGGTGCATGCACAATCCAGTAAGCACATAGGAACTGTGTGGGGATGGAGCATGCTCAGTGTAGATGAAATCTTCAGAAAATAATGCTGCCAACCTCTAACAAAACTCTAGTGAGCATGTGCAAACTGTAGTTTTTCAGAGACTTATAACTTGGGCAAATTTGAGCAGATTTCCATGGGAATGGCAAAAGGAGCATCCCTGAAATTTGGCAGGGGGTCACCTTGGTGTTTCAAGTCCCTGCTCCAAAATGGAGACACTAAAATTTCTCAAAAACAGTGAGGAGACCTTGTGGCACCTGAGAGACTAACAAATTTATTTGGGCATAAGCTTTCGTGGGCTAAAACCCACTTCATCAGATGCATGGAGTGGAAAATACAGGAGCAGGTATAAATACATAAAAAGATGGGCGTTACCTTACCGAGTGTGAGGTCAGTCTAACGAGACAATTCAATTAACAGTAGGATACCAAGGGAGGGAAAATAACTTTTGTAGTGGTAATGAGAGTGGCCCATTTCATACAGTTGACAGGAAGGTGTGAGTAACAGTAGGAGGAAATTAGGTTTAGGTTTTGTAATGACCCAACCACTCCCAGTCTTTATTCAGGCCTAATGTGATGGTGTTTAGTTTGCAAATTAATTCCAATTCTGCAGTTTCAGGTTGGAGTCTGTTTTTGAAGTTTTTTTGTTGAAGAATTGCCACTTCTACATCTGTTATTGAGTGACCAGGGAGATTGAAGTGTTCTCCTACTGGTTTTTGAATGTTATAATTCTTGACATCTGATTTGTGTCCATTTATTCTTTTGCTTAGAGACTGTCCGGTTTGGCCAGTCTCTGTGACCCCTGGGCACTGGAGTTCTCGGTTGTGACCAGAGCAGTCATTGTTGGGCATTGTGGGAGAGCTGCTGGAGAAGAGTTGACATAGGTAACACAGTGTCTATATTCACAATGCATTGACCTCAGTACATTGACCATGGCTCAACGCTGCTTGGGGAGGTGGTGTTATTGTGTCACTCTAATGGGGCACTCACATCAGTGGGAGACAAATTTAAGTGTAGACACATGTATAACTATGTTGACGTAAGGCAGCTTCCATAGACTTAACTTTGTAGTTTAGACTAGGCTTCAGAAGGGTCTTGTCATGTCTTCCTGACAGAGGAAGAAGAGAAAGGAATTTGCATTTTCTTCTCTGACTGAGAGACTATAATTTAAATGACCTTGGTTACATTTCTGTCTCAGGTTCATTTCAGGTCAGAATCTGATGTTATATGCACTCATGCCAAAACATTATTTTCAACAATTATTCTTGCTGTATGATGCATGTTGAAACTTTAAATATTTGTAATATTACTATTTTAAAGCTTTGCCTGGTATGTAGACTTGCTTTTGTAAAATAAAAAAAAATTATGCATAACTTATTTTGGGGGCTGGGGGAGGAAGAGAGAAAAATTATCCCTGTTTTAATAAATTGAATATAATGCTACGTAGAAACTGCTATATATGCTTAAAATGTGCTTTATACACATGTCACATAAAATAAATAGAGAATTAGTTTTGTTTTAAAATATCATTTGCTCCCCCTCTGAAGCGCATCAAGGCAGAGATCAGATGGCTGGAGAATCTGAAACACTGCACATACTGTGAGCACCAATCATCCTCACTTCTCCTGTCTGTTACATTTCGGTAGCACTTCATTTCTGCCATTTAATTTATGTGCAGAGTAAGAACTTTCATAAATTCCACCTCAGATGACCTCAGCACAACCAGGAGAGCACCCCCGTAAGAGCTGACCCCACCACAGATCTCTCCAAAGAGAAAGGTCTGTTCAGTGCAGGGCCGGCTCCAGGCACCAGCGTTCCAAGCAGGTGCTTAGGGCGGCAGTTAGAAAGGGGCGGCAGTGTTTCTGCCATGGCGGCAATTCGGCGGCAGCTTCTCCCCTTTGCCGTCCAGAGCAGCAGTTTTTTCACTGCTTGGGGCAGCAAAAACTGTAGAGCCAGCCCTGGTTCAGTGTCACTGGGATAATAAGACAAATACCTTTAAAGCCTATAGCTCTAATTTCACCAGTTAGCTTTCAGTAATCAGATTCTGCAAGGCTGCTACTGTAAATTGAGCTTGCACTGCTAAGAGTCAGAAGCTGGTTGTTGCAAGACTAACAAACATAGAATTGAATTGCAGAGAAGCAGTGCTAACTGCCCCCTTCAACTGTCATTTTGAAGAGGCAAACGGTTCTCACTCAAGGCTTTATCAGACACTTATTAGGTGGGAAAAAATTCCATTAGCACTTTGAAGTGCTATTTTCTTTTTTTGTGAGGCAACAAAAGAAGTCTAAGTGAAGACTGACAAAGCTACTAAGAACTGGGTGTGTGTGTGTGACAATACTTTATTTTAAATCCTCTCACAAAATTATGTCTATTTCTTTCAGGCCCATTAATTTTTGTGTATTACTGAAATTATTCACTCCTACACTGCACACTCTCTCTTAATTGGGTGATTTATTTTTACCAGCTGGCATGCAAGGCTGACACAGATGAGCCTGGTTCATCACGGGCATAACTGTGACTACAGTACTGCACCAGTTATGAATTTGATCTGTTCTGCCTGACAGACTCTTTCCCAGAGCTCATGAAATGAGGGAGAATCTATGGGAATGGGTAGGTGGGGAGAGGGGAGGGGCACTATTATATCCTTTTAAATAAGATACAAAGACAGAATAGGTGAATTTCAACCTAATATTGCATTGTGCAGTGAGATGCACTACAGGGGAGGTTTATGCTTTTCTCTGAGGTGAACTGCACCTGTCTTTGGTTAATCCAGACATGGGCAAACGAGAGTTTGGCACCAATAACAAAATAAGCAATTGGTCATTGTGATGGGGTGTGTTCCCCACACAGGCCCTGAAGGAGCGAATGTGAGCCTGAGAGGTGAATTAACATATCTGGCAGCACCTGAGAGAGAGAAAGAGAGCACACACATATACACACAAGGTCCAGGTGTAATTGATAATGAAGCCCAGCTGGGGAGGGGCTAGGTGGCAATAATAAAGCCAGGAACTTTGCAGCATAAAGAGCTGGAGGGAGAGGGTCTGTGGTCACTTTCCGGGGGTAGAAAAGGTAGGAAGCAGTCTAGGGAGGCAACAAGGAGTCTGAGGGTGTAGACCTTGATAGTCAGCTACAGTGTCTCTGGACTGGATCCCAGAGTAGAGGATGGGACTGGGCTCCCCTACCAGCTATGTAGGAAGGTGGGTTGAAATCCCCTAAGGAAAGGGGTGTAAGGACCACGGAGTCTAGAGACAGGTGGAAGATCTGCTGTAAGGTCATTGGACTGTAGCTGGGTCAGACTCCCTGTTACCTGGGAAGGGGTGGACTAATGTGTAAGGGGTTAGAGGGCCAAGTTGCAGGGAAAGAGACCACTGCAGTAATGGAGGGACCATCAGCAGAGGAGACAGCTGCTATGCTATGTCTGGTCACAAGGAGGAGCTCCTGTGATGAGTGAACCCTGTTACAGTTCACAACATTCATCAATCACCATCAATTTTACCAAGTTTTCCAGACCAAATCTCTGTTGGTTCTGGTCATGACTCTGACTACAATCCTACACCAGCAGAGTTGGTAAGAAGGCATAGGGCCTGATTCTCTTCTCTCAGCAGTATAAAATAGGAATAATGCCATCAATTCCAACTGAAAACCAGTGTAAGCAAAAGGAAAATCAGGTCCATAATCATTGCAGAAATATACCTGGCTATTTATTATATACTGTGCTCATGGGCAGTGTGGAAATCAACCTGCTACATTTCCTCAGGCATAAATTATGAGTCACAAAATGGAGAAAGATGATATAACTCCTGTGTTGAACCCTCCATCATATCATGCTCACTGCCACCAAGAGGTCATGCTGCAAGAGAGGAAGAAAGGAGGCCTGGTTTGTATAGTTGACATGAACAAAATGAAAGGACACATGCACATGATTATTGACTGCAATGTGCTACCCTTTGCTGCCTCTTCTCACACATATACAGAATTCTACTCTTTACCCCCTAAATTTAACCTACTCTCCCACACCCGTTTTCCTTTTACACGTACTCCCTTGTCTGACGCGATCCCAATCCTCCCTCCCCATTATCCATCACGTAACATAAGAACTAGGGATAACCCAATCAAATTAATAGGCAGCAGGTTTAAAACAAACAAAAGGAAGTATTTCTTCACACAACGCATAGTCAACCTGTGGAACTTGTTGCTAGGGGATATTGTAAAAGCCAAAACTATAACAAGATTCAACAAAGTACTAGATAAATTCATGGAGGATAGGTCCATCAATGGCTATTAGTGTAGATGGTCAGGGGTGCAACCCCATGCTGAGAGTATCCCGAGTCTCTGACGGACAGAAGCGGGGAGTGTTTGACAAAGGATGGATCACTCAATGATTGCCCTGTTCTGTTCATTTCGTATAAAGCACCTGGCATTGGCCACTGTTGGAAACAGGATACTTGCCTAGATAGACCATTGGTCTGATGCAGTATGGCTGTTCTTATGTTCATCCCATCTCCCCACATATTTTCTCTTTTCCCTTTCTCTCCCTAAATATTTGTGTCCCCCCAACTTTTTTGTTTTGCTTTTTTATGCTGTATGAAGGTCTGAATAGTTTTTTTTATCTGTATTTTTTTTTTTTTTTTTGCATACATGAATTTTACATTAGAATCTAGGAGCTATTGATAATGTTTTTGCTAGAAGATTCTATGCATCTGGAGAATTAGTGAAATCATTACATCAGATATCAAGAAATGAAATCTGATTATTGAAAGGGAAAGTGACTTATTCAAACTGTTTGAAACTCTGTTTTGCATTGCTGTGAGTAATCTGTTTAATTCAAATGTTCAGTAAACAGTTGGAAGAAAAGATCTGTTCCTTAAAGATTTACTACCTCCCACTTTTAGTTAAGGTCTGAGAAAGTTAAGGTCTCGGCAGCAGTTCTGCAGAAAAGGACCTAGGGGTTACAGTGGACGAGAAGCTGGATATGAGTCAACAGTGTGCCCTTGTTGCCAAGAAGGCCAATGGCATTTTGGGATGTATAAGTAGGGGCATTGCCAGCAGATCGAGGGACGTGATCGTTCCCCTCTATTCGACATTGGTGAGGCCTCATCTGGAGTACTGTGTCCAGTTTTGGGCCCCACACTACAAGAAGGATGTGGAAAAATTGGAAAGAGTCCAGCCGAGGGCAACAAAAATGATTAGGGGACTGGAACACATGAGTTATGAGGAGAGGCTGAGGGAACTGGGGATGTTTAGTCTTTAGAAGAGAAGAATGAGGGGGGATTTGATAGCTGCTTTCAACTACCTGAAAGGGGGTTCCAAAGAGGATGGCTCTAGACTGTTCTCAGTGGTAGCAGATGACAGAACAAGGAGTAATGGTCTCAAGTTGCAGTGGGGGAGATTTAGGTTGGATATTAGGAAAAACTTTTTCACGACAAGGGTGTTGAAACTCTGGAATGCGTTACCTAGGGAGTTGGTGGAATCTCCTTCCCTAGAAGTTTTTAAGATCAGGCTTGACAAAGCCCTGGCTGGGATGATTTAGTCGGGGATCGGTCCTGCTTTGAGCAGGGGGTTGGACTAGATGACCTCCTGAGGTCCCTTCCAACCCTGATATTCTATGATTCTATGAAAAGCTCCCAATACACACATGAGATCACTATTGTTGTTAATGGACTCACTGGGGAAGACTAGACTCAACATTCCCAATATTTCTAAGACTCAAAATAAATGGGAAAAAATTAAATCTGAACCTTTCATGCCTTCTCTTTGCATCATAAAGAAACAATGGGAGAAAATTATTATTTTTGTATTTGTAGGTCCCCTTAAAAACACAAATAGTTTAGTACATTATAATCTTTCCTAGCCAGAGTGCAACTGCACCTTCATTTAAAAAGCACCCTTCACAATGAATCTCTGTTGTTATGAGCAGTGCTGGTTGCAGTGCCTCTAGTTAAGGTTAGCTAACACTTGCCATTAGAAAATCCTGTTTCTAGTGGCTTATAATTTTGCTAAACTTTAACCAGTTGGGCTGAAATTTTCCATGCCAAATGTCTGCCTCAGGCTTTTTTTTTCTCTTTGAATTTCAGGAAAGGCAGTTACCTGTTTCCTAGAACAAAGTTAGGGGGAAAATATGCTTTGCCCATGTTAAAAATAAATTCTTACAACTCATAAATTGAGAAATTTGAGAGTGGTAGCTGTGTTAGTCTGTATCAACAAAAACAACAAGGAGTCCTTGTGGCACCTTAGAGACTAACAAATTTATTTGGGCATAAGCTTTTGTGGGCTAGAGATATCCAGAGATATTGGATCTCCTATGCCTGGGGGGAGAAGAAGCTGTGCAAGCACAGCTACGGACCAGCCATTGAAATATGGACATTTATGGCCAGATTGCACAGGGGAATGCAGGGGAATAGGTATATGCGACATGAAAGCGAGGGAACTGTGTCAGGCATACCATAAGGCCAGAGAGGCAAGCAGTCAATCTGATGCTGATCTGCAGATTTGCTGCTTTTACAAAGAGCTGCATGCCATACTTATCGGAGACCCTACCCTCACCCAATGGGCCATAATGAATATGGCCAAGAAGCCTGAGACACAGGCCCTCTTGAACCCATGTCTTCTACATTCCAGCTGAGTGCTCTAACCACCAGGCTATCAAGTCAGTGTCTCCTAATTTGGCTCAGTGAATATTTCTTGATTATACAAAGTGGGCTAGCTCCAACAGGAGAGATTGAGAAAGGAAGCCAGAGACTGACTGACACTGTCTCTAACTCTCTCTCTCTCTTTCTGGCTTTTCATTAAAAATTTCAAACAGTCTTGGTTTCATCCCCATGCAGAACAGGACATTTTTTGAAATCGTGAAAATTTTTATGGGACAGAAAAACCATTTCTCACCCAACTCTGATGCTAGTGTCCTGAGGGATGATTCTGAAGATGTGACAGATTTTTGCTGCTATTATTGAATGTGCTTGTGCATTCTTTGTCTAAGAGGTTTGCAATTTACTCAAGGGTACTCTTGGATCTCTGTTTGCTTCTTGGATTCCAACTAGCATCAGAGACCAAAAGCTTTTTTTCCCCATCAACATCTGGTTAGTCATTTGCATCCTATTCTTTTGGATTTGGCCTCTCCACAGTGACCCATGAATATGTGACTTCTAGACCAGGTTACTGCTTTGCACTCTACTTTAGGCTACACCTTAACACCACTCAGGAACTACTGCTGATGCAGAATATGGCTGTCCAACCTCTTAGGTCATGGTAGTTGATGGGCACATATTACTGTGACAGAAAACACCCCTGTATCCAAACCCCCTACACACGACTATAATGATCTTTGTACACAGTATGCCTTGTAAGGTATCATTTGAAAACTCATAATTTGCTGGTCAGTATTGTCCTGGTAAAATTTGTGTGGCAACATTGTATGCAAAGCTATATGATTCCACTGTATGGTGTTATTAACACATGTTTCAAACCCCACAGCTCTGCCCAAACAGAATTTGGCAGACAGGTCAGTCCTAAACAAAGGAATGTGTGCTTCACTTAATTATCATTTAAGCAGTAAGCACAGTAATCAAGCAGAGAGGGAAACAAAGAAAGCTCAAAGAGGTCAGAAAAAAGCAGCAGGGAACATCCTTCCCCATAGACTGTCTCCTGGTGCCCAGCTGGAAATGTTTTTCAAGCGGGGGACTGAAACTATTAAAAGGAGGGACAAACATCCCCAAGGTACCCCGCCCCTCTTCCTGCCCATCACATTCGCTACACTTGAAGCAACAAAGGAAGCATTTGTTGGACTCAGGGAGAATGGGTCCTGACCTATAGGTGTTGGTCAGTAAGGTTGCTGAAAGCAAGTGGTGAAAAACTTTGCTTGAATCTGATATAGTTTAAGTTAGGTAATAATAAATGTCTTGTCTATATTTTTCTTGTAACCATTTCTGACTTTTATGCCTCATTACCTGTACTCACTTAAAATCTATCTCTTTGTAGTCAATAAACTTGTTTTATCTAATCCAGTGTGTTTAAATTGAAGTGTTTGAGTAACTCTGTGACAAGTTGTGTGCATATTATTATCTTAAAGGAATAACAGACTTAATATAATCTGTACTGTCCAGGGCAATACAGGAGATATGTTTCTGGGTGAAAATCTGGGATTGGGGTGGGGAGTTGGGGTCACCCTGCAGTATAACCAAGCCTGGTGAGATCCAGAGTATAACCCATTTGTGGCTGGCAGTTGCAAGTCACACCCTGAGTGAGTGTGTGTGTGTATCTTGCATGGTGGAAGGCTGTTTATGAGTGTGCCTGGTGGGAGCTACTTCAGCAAAGCATTGTGAGGCAGCCAAGGTTGAGCAGGGCGTTAGACTAGATGACCTCCTGAGGTCCCTTCCAACCCTGATATTCAATGATTCTATGAAGGTTGCAGGGGTGACACAGCTGCTTATTAGTCTGGATTGACTCTCTGTTATGTCACACCAGCCTCTTAGGTTATGGTAGTTAATGGGCATATATTACACCAGTCTTTTCAGCGGTTGCAGTAGCTTCCGATTAATTCTGGGTGTATTTCAAGTATCAATTTTTGGCTAACTCAGAGATCACCTTTCTCCTTGTGAACCACCATGGAAGTAGAGATGAACTGGGGTGCGCATGCCCATCCCCACATTTAAATATCAGGGACAGAGGAAGGGCATTCTTAGTAGACAGCCTGGAACTCTGAAATGTGTTCCTTTAGCTGATCAGGCAGTGGCCATGGTTTTGACAGTTAGGACTCAGCTCAAGGCCCCTCTCTTTTTTCAGGCATTTGCCTCAGGGAGGTTGGGTAAGCTGGTTGCGAGGGGGAAGTACTTGGTCTGAGAGCTTGTCCTTCTTTCTTTTTGCCTTTCATAAGAGATACATTTGTACACGTATTCTTACTACATTATGCATATGCTTTCTGAGGCAACTTGGATAGGGTACATTTTATCATTCTAAAAATAAATGTAATGCAGTACATGTAATGACACTCTAAAACCCCAGTGTGTGTAATGAGAGCTCAACTCTGCCCAGAGAAGGAAAGTGCAGCTGACACATGCACAGGAGTCTCCACTTGCTTTTTATAAAATACTATGCAAATGGAAGAAAGTACTTGCCAAAGAAACAGATGAAGATACATTCCTCAGAGATTTCTTTGTGACAGGACTTCAGAACCTGTCAGGGAGTGGTATTCAAAGTTTAGAGGCAGAATCCATTAAGTAATAATAATTCCCTTCTCTACAGGCCTGCAGCTCACAAATGGACAGACTGCTGATGAAATGTTGGGCTAGACAGAGAAAGTTAAAGGCAGCCCTGGTCATCTGCAAGTTAGTCAGCCGTTCAGTGTGATTCTTCTTTGCAGAATATTCCCAGTTCACCAAGGAGTACAATAGACTCTGGTGTAAATTTTCATCTCTTCACAGGATATTTGGGAGATGTAGCACCAAAGGGATTTCTGCAACAGGATCCTCCCACATCTACCAACACCGGCCCATCAAAGATGGAGGATAAATTTGAAAAACATTTACATTAATATTGCATACCATTTATTAGCTCTACCATCACAACTCTGGCTCTTGCTCTTTCCTCCTCTGCTTCACTTCTTCCCTCTTGGTGTCTGTCCTTCCTCCCTCTGCTGAAATGAACCCTTTGGTGTGCCACTACAAGGGAGAGACAAGTTGAGATTAGCTCCTCACAAGTAAGACACTGTCCTTGCACAACTCCTTCTCTTCCTCTCTGCAAATCCCCCTTCCCACAATCCATCAAGTATTCAACCTCCCCCTGCCACCACCACACACAGAGTCAGATCTCTTCTCCTCCAGCAAAACAAATTTCCTCCCACATATCAATTCTTTGCCACCTCATAAAAATCAATATGCCACCTTGTGGTGGGCTGAATAAACTCCACACCAGAATGGTTCCAGTTAAGGAGCAGCTCTGGGCCCAGGCAGCCCCACCTATCCCCACCTGCAGTGTGCAGCTGGAGATGAAGTTTAAAAGAGAGCCAGACAGGGAAGGTAGTGAGACCTACTCTGGGAGCTTCTGAAGAAGGATGCTATAGAAACCTTTCCCAGGGGAAAGAGCCTGCCTGCTGAGCCCAGAGGGGCTGAAGATTCAGTTATTCTCCTTTTCCTTTTGTGATGGGGTGGAATAGGCCCAAAGACCCCCTGCTGGAGGTCTCAGAGTCCCACTACACCCTGTCCCAGAAAGGAGCAGTACAGAAGTCCTCCAGGGTGCCTGGAGTGGCTGTGGGGGAAGCAGTCAATTAGAAAGAAGCTGCGGGGAGTAGCCAATCAGGACCCAACAAGGCCATATAAAATGAGCTGCAGTACTAGAGAGAGTTAGTTGTTGCCTGGAGCTGGAGGAGTGAGGACTGTGTTCCTGGCTGGCTGGCTGGCTGGCTGGCTGAAGGAGCAGCAGGACCATGGACAGATCAATTGCTGGCAGGGATTGGAGGAGCAAGAGGGAGCTGCTGGGACTGAGTACAAGACTTCAGCCCTATGGTAAGGGTGAAGCATTTGAGAATGTGCTGGAGCTGCAGGGAAGTGGCTCAGGGAACAGAAACACAGTTTAGTTAAAGAGATGCAGTAGGCGGCTGCTATTCATAGGGTCCCTGGTCTGGGACCTGGAGTAGTGAGCGCGCCCAGTCCCTCCCCTGCCACTACAGAATTGGCCTGAATATTGAACTGAGATACATCCCTGGAAGAGAAACTGAACTGTTAAGTGGTCAGCTGGAGAGGTGGGTCCAGAAACGGTGAAGAATCTCCAGGGAGGAAGTCCTGGGGGTATGGCCCCCATACCAGGGTCAGAGACTATTTGATAGCTTGCCCAGAACGGGCTGTGGGACTGATTAAGGACTGAGCCCGTGGAGGTCTGCAGGAAGACAGTGTCTCCAGGGAGGAAGCCCTGGAGATACAGCCCCATAGTAGGGCCAGGACTATTTAAAGACTGAGGCTGGGGAGGGCTACAGAGATACCAACAGAGGAGTACTGGGATTGGCTCCTGTTGGACTATATACCCTGGAAGGGGTCTGTACAGTTTCAAATACAGACTCTGTGTGTGAGACTCAGCTGGACGGCTGAGTCATTGAAAACCTGCCTGAGAAACCACGAACAGGGGTCACCACAAACTGAGAGAGCTGCAGGCACACACACTCGACCGGGGCACTCACGAGAGGTGGGTGCCACCCCGTTACACTTTGCTACTGTGTCAAACTGTAAGACTTTGGTGGGGTAGCAAGTGGTAAGATGTGACATGGGGGGGATCCTTTAGGCACTTCCAGGTGCTGGACATTGTTGCTTCTTACAGAGCTCTGGGCTGGAACCCAGTGGAGTGAGAGGACCTGGACTCTCATACCAATCATCTTCATATGGAGGGCACAAAAACCCTCTCTTCCAAACTCACCCCGGGGAAATACAGAGAGGGTAAAGACTTTGCAAAGCCCATGGATGGGGCTGAACACCTGCAGGGGTTGGTAAACAGAGGGAAGGTCCTCCTCCTGCCCACCTTTGGGAGAGCATGGGGCCTGATATCTTCCTTCAGACTGTTATCCCAGAGGGGGCTAGAGCTACTTGGAGAACAGATTGGAGGTTGGGTCAACACACACGCACCGAAAGGCAGACTGCCACGGATGTGACCGGGGCCAGTGATGGACGCTGGTGATGGTACTAGGTCTCCCTTCGCCCTCTGACCACTAAGTGGCAGTGCCCGTAAGCGCTGCCCATCACACACCTCAGAACATAAATTCAAGTTTCTTAGCCCACCCAAAATTCAGTGCCTCCTCCAAATCAATTCCCCTTTTCAAAATTTATTCCACTCTTACAAAAATCAATCCGTCCTCTCCCACCTCCATAATACATAGAATCACAGTGCCATCTGGTACCACATGGGGATCAGGCTCCTCTGCACAACAGCCTGGCCTCCTTCCCGTCTGAGATCACAGCTCGTCAGGGAGAGGAGGGGCCGCTGCTGGCCAGGCCGTGCTGTGCAGAGTTTTCCAGCTGCTGCTCTGCCACACGAGCTCCACAGTGATGGGGAGGAGCTGGCAGGCAGAGAGACCCCTAAAGGCATGGGGCTTTCCTTGTTTCTTTTTGATCTCAGATGGGCCTCTTGCCTGCCTTGCAGCGCTTGGAAGAGCAGAGCCCTTGTGTAGGTATGAGGCACAGATTTGTTGTTTTTGTTTTTTAATTTGGCAGTGAGGCAGCCAGACATGGCAGAGTACAGCCAAGAGAGCAGGAGACAGAACTGGAAAGCCAGAATCTGACTAAAAGGTCTTCAAAGCCAGAGACTAGATGGGTCTGTGGATTTGTACTTTTCTCATATTTATCCAACTATCACCAGCATTTGTGCACATCTGTTCCTCCAAATACTTTGTTCTGTGTTTTATGAAGGAAGAGGCGAAAACTCCTAGTTTAGAGGCCTCTACCTAGAAAATTCTCACAATGCCTATCAGTGTGCAACATCACCCAGGGGATTCTCAAACTGGTGCAAAATCTCCAGAGTGCAATGCATCGTGGGGAGGAACCATATTGGAAAATTGCCAGGATCCCCTGCTCTGAGCATCAGTGGATGAAGAACTCTAGGATAGCTGTTAAGAATTGCCATAATGCAGTACACATAGGGTTGACAGACAGAGATACAACACTTTTGAAACAGGCTAGTATCAAACAGTGTTGCTCTACAGACCCATTTGGCCAAGTTAGAACGTGATTATCTGGCATGGTTATACCAAAAGACTGTTGCTCTGTGGACAAGGCTCTTCTTTAAGCTTCTGCTTTCACTTTTCTCTTAAGGAGCTCTATTTTGGTAATAGGACAATCCCTTTTGGGCATTGGGTTTTCAGATTAGGCTGATCAGGAACATAAAATATCCCCATATACTGTTAGTCAGTGTCACATCAAAGGACTTCAGTCAGGAAGACAAATAATTAAATTACCTAGGCTTTGATCAAGAGTCTGCAGTTTGCTTCAAACACTTCCACAGGACATTTGCTTGCTTTAATCACCACTGTCTCTTTTGTGATCAAAGGAGTTCCTTTTGATATAGGGAATGCATTGCCTCTTAATCAAGGTGATTTAACTCGTCCCTAACCTTCCTAATTGTGTTACTGGTTTAATGTAAAATATGTTTATTGACATATGTGCATGACAGCTTCTGTCTAATGGTATGTCACACTAATTGTATTGTTTGAGTGTGACCAGCAGTTTCTTTGCTCTTCTGCACATTCCAGACACATGCATCTTTACTTTTTGAATACAGATATAGAATGGACAATTTTCAAGGATAAAGATATTTTCCAATTCTCTTTATAGTACCCTGATATCAGGCAACCTGAGAGGTGGACAGAGACTCCCCCTGTTGCTGACAAGAGGCCAGCAGTAGTTGCAGAGAGAAGGCAGCAGAATGCTGGGGTGAGGTTACAACTACAGTTACCTTTAGACTCACCCCTGTAGTGGTCTGGCCCTGGGGCTGGATTAGGAACTGTTGTTTTGTTCATTTGCTGTAAGTGTAAAGTGAGCATGCCTAGGATTGTTTGCACTTCTTATTCCTGGCGGCCCTAGTCAATGAATCCTCTTATTTAGAGAGTGTCATTGTTTATGGAAACCCACCTGTCATGACCCCAGGAGTCTCAAACCTGGGTCTACAGGCTTCCTGGAGGAGGGTGGGGGCATCAAACTCTAATCCTCCACCCAACAGCTTCCTGGTATCACCTAGAACCAGGGCTCCTTGAAGCCCAGCTCAGACAGTAGGCTCCACCCTGGGCCCTGATTGGCGGAACACCAGAGTTCCTGGTTGGTCTGCTCCCCTTACTTAAGCCACAGGGAGGAATAGGAATTTGTCTATATAACTGGGCTCCACACTGCTTCGGATTGCTCACTCAGCGCTACCTGCTCTTGCCTCCTGCCCCAGCCTCCCTGGTGTCCTGACTTGGCCTGATTCCTGCAATCTGACTCTAGGTCCCTGACCTCAACTTCTGACCTCCTGGTTCAGAACCCTGCCTGGCGTGAGGACCCGGCCCCCTATCCTAACACTAACCTCTAGGCATGGCCACCTGCATCCTGACCCTGACAGTTTGTACGGACCACACAGTAATCCTCAAGAGGGTGGGCCCAGGGTGAGAGGTATGGTACTAGCAGCCCAACTGCTGCCTCCAGAGGTACTGGATTTGCCCAAATGGACTGTCCGCCTCCAGGCCGATAACCAAGCACTGCAGGCCCAAGTCATGCAGCTAAGCTCAGAGAACCGTTTGCTGTTGGATCGAGTAAACCAGCATTGTGTGGAGAATGCTGTATTCCAGATACAACCCACCGTGCCCTGTCCTGAACGGGGATCTGCAACACCTCTGCCAGAACCATTCAGTGGGAGTTGCTAGTGGTTCTGGGGCTTCATGAACCAATCCTGCCTCCTATTCATGTTGCATGCCCAAATTTAGGCTTCTGACCCAGCCAAGGTGGGTTTGATAATCAGCCTGCTGATGGGAGAGGTGTTGCACTGGGCCTCCCTCTTGCTGTATATTAACAGCCTAGTGCCTTCAAATTTGAATGCCTTCCTCCAATCTATATCCACAATCTTTGATGACCTGCATTGTGCCCGCTTGGCCGAGGCTGCTGTAAGGAAACTCTGGCAGGGGCAGGGTATCATTGCTTCCTAGGCAGTGCTT